TGTTGATTTTGTTCTGGAGTTGAAGGAGATCCTGCAAGCGAAGAAAGTCCCAGAGCTGAAGCAGATGTGTAAGAACAAGAATATTAAGTTTATTGTTAAAGATCAGGCAATCAAGGAGCTCGTGGCGGCGGAAGCTAGACTCGCGTACAAAAGATGGCTTGATGGAGTAGACAGTGGGGGAACCAAGAAAGAAGAAGGCTCGTCAGCGGTGGAGGGAGTGGTGCCAGCTAAATGACGGTGTCCACCCCCAACGAAGCTGCTCCGGGCTAGGCTACTATCATTCATGGGCCTGAGAGACGCACTCTGGGGGAATTACGGTATGACAAGGTTCAAGATTACTGTCGAGCAGGTGATTATAGCGGTGTTTCTACTCCTGACGTTGGCGAGGCAGGTTCCCTGGGCCTCGAAGCTTCTCTCGTTCGTGCCTAAAGACCATGATTTCTTTGACCTTAGTGGACCTGCAGTATACTGCCTGGTGTCCCCGTGGTGCAAGAGGATATACATAGGACAGACTATACGGGGTGCAGGGGAAAGGTGGTGGGAGCACATACGGTGTGTTGAATTAGGGACCAAGGGGCATGGGGCAAAGCTATATGCTTTTCTTAGGAGGTTTGGTTGGGGTAAGTACTTGGTACTCCCATTAGCCACAGGAGTAGGTTATGACCTCGTAAGACTGGAAGGAACCTTCATAGGCAGGTTGTCACCATCACTGAACACATTGGAAGAACAGTGAGAGCGAAGAACAAGGCGAGACCGGGACGGAAGGAGAGGGCGAAGAAGGCAGTTGGGCCAGCTGTTCGGAGAAGCACCCTGATAGTGTTTACGGATCTCGCCACCGGAAGGAGGAATGCAAGCCAAGTACGCTGCTCGAAGAGGTGAGTAGAGCGGGCGGGAAAAACATTACACTGGCCAGCTCAGGTGGTCAGGTGTGGGGCGAGAAGTGGTCGATCGTCAAGAGGTTATATGGCACGTCCACAGTGAGGACCGATGAAGGGAAAGTCCCGCTTGCACGAGGCAAGTGCATGATGGAGGCGGGGGGGCAGTTTCGGATTGCCCCGGTAGAGAAGGCAGAAAATGCACAGCTGAGGGGGAAAGGATACCTCAGACAGTTGCTCGAGATGCCGAGGAAGAAGGGGGAGTTGAAAAACTTCGATATTCCGAAGCTAATTTTCCTATACCGCAGTGCGCGCAAGTTCAAGACGAAGACAACAAGGAGGGTACTGAAGGAAATGATAGCGGACGTTGTACGGAAGAAGACAGGCGTGGAAGTTAAGAAGAAGGTGAATGTCAAGGTCACCTACAGCCATAGACTAAGGAAGAGAAGGATAAGAGAGAGTCGCAGCTGCGGTGGGAAGCAGCAGAATCCACCCGGTGTTAAAATTGGTGTTGAAGCAGCGGATCAGAGTTGTATGGGGATGCAACAAGAACGTCGAGGAGCTTCTCACCAATCATCGCATGTCAGCAAAAGAGCCGGTGGTCGAATGTACATGCAAAGATGAAGACTTGCCCAGGGAAGGTGGGCATGTGTTGCTCAGAATTGTACAGTACCCTGCGATACCGAGTTTCCTCTACAATGGGAAAAATATTCTGCAGAACACCACTGGGGTCGAGCAGAGGACAATGCAGAGAGAAGTCGAGCGGGCACTAAATGGAGTGATGAGGAAGGAAGATTTACTAGAGGTTAAAGGGACAATGCTTGAGAATTGCGTCAATAGGGAAGGGAGGGAAAGTGCAGCAAGCACGGAGGAAGAAGCACCGGAGTTAGCCAGGAAACTGAAACACCTGGTAGCGGTGCTCGTGGATAGGAACCCCGGTGATATAGTGGTTATGTGCCCAACCACATATCACCACGAGTTACAGCTGATGTTTCCGTTGAATGCGGCCTATGAGGAAGTGAAATGCATGAAGGAAAAGGAGTTGCTAGCCCAGATTAGGAGAGGCTACAAGCAAAGACAACTGGACAAGATCGGGGCGTGGAACCCTGCAGCGAAGATCGGGCAAGCGTACGTCCTCCCAAAGAACAAGGACCTCAATCGGTGGAGACCAATTGCACCAGCTTGCGCGGATGGAGCCAGGACAACCAGCAGAAGGTTAGCCAAGGCACTCAATTTCCTGCTAGAGAAAGCGCCAGGGGTGAGACATTCAACCTCAAGGCTACCTAACTACTTATTGGCAACCTCGGTGCAGCAAGCGGCAGGGGGAAGGGGAAGGATGAGGAAGGGTTTCCAATGGCAGCAAGTTACGATATTAAAGAGATGTTCACCTCCTTGCCACACCCGATGATTATCAAGGCGGTCGACTGGTTGCTGTGTCAGTGGGAAGAGAAGGACGTGACAAGAGTCAGCCTCAACCGGAGAGGGAGTGTTATTGTCCTTAATAAGAAGAGCCTGGGTCCGTGATATGTTGATCTGAAGTTTGCTATGATTAGGCAACTGGTCACCTTCGAGCTCGAGAACACATACGTGATGAGCAAAGGGAAGATTTTAAAGCAAGTGATTGGGATTCCCATGGGAAAGAATTCCAGCCCCCCACTCTCATATACGTTGTGCGCGAGGTACGAGGCGGAATTCCTCGGATCATTGGGGAATGACCAGAAACTGGTACATGGAGTGCGCTTGGTAGACGACGTCACCCTGGTGGTTAAGTGCGATTTGTCGGAACCAAGCAGCATCGCAAGAGGAAGGCAGATCCAACGAAGGTTCGCGGAAGCATATGGGGAGCAGTTGCTATTGGTTCGAACAGATGACGGCTCAAATTCTTGGGATTTTCAGGGCACAAGAATCACAGCAATACCTTGTCCCATCCGGTTTTTGGTTCGGCCAAAGAACAAGAACCATGACTGTGTCGGGAGTGGAGAGCTTCTCTTCCGTTCATTCCAAGACTACAACTCCTACTCTGAGAAGAAAGTCAAAGCCGAAGCAATTACAGCTGCTTTTCACAGGATCCAACGACATGCTAGCGAACCACTGATGGTCATCACCCCAGTGTTGGAGATGAGTTGTGAACTCAGGCGTCGGGGCTACCCCCCGGCGCTCTTCTTCCACACTCTGGCGAAGTTTGCCAGAGTTACCAGTTCCTTCAGCGAAGCATGGCAGATGCTAGCTGAAGGACTGGTGCAATTTGCGAGACGCAGTCCGGCAGGAGGAGAATGAAGTGATCCCGCGAGTGAGGGGGGTGTGTCCCCCCGCTTAAACGGGCGGGAACAGGGGGGTCCCGGTACCTGATACCGGGTTGTAATTTTATGTACCATAGTAGAGCTGCGTAGGACGCCCGATAGTAGAATTGTCGGACTGTATAGTAGATACGGAGCATGAAATAGAAACGTTGGACGCGTCAGAAGCGGGCAGTTAAGCGGGGAACAAGCCGAGGGAAGGAAGAGCCGAGGGGGTTGCTGAGTGGGGAAATACCGGGGGAATGGTACCATAAGAAGCGGGATAGCAAGCTAGGAAATAGTATAATAAGGATTTAGGTACGTACTTTTAGYTCGTCCGTGAGGGAGTCCGGCGGGAAACACGAGAGAGAGAGGAAAAAAACGGGTAGGGCTTATACCCGGCAGGGACCAAAGCACAGAACGGATGTACCTAGACATTTTCAGGCTCTAACGAGTTGTTTTTGCGCCCGGAGGCCCCGTGGCAGACCGGTGCACGTGCTAGAACGGACACAGCGAGCGCAATGCGGGCGCACACGTGAGGTCTGGTGGGGTGTAGGCAAGGCGACTCCGTTCTGTTATGCGTAGTGCAGGGAGTGCCTACGCCAGGTTGTTACACGTGCGAAGAGGCACGAGTGCTGTATAAGTGAGGGCAAGGCCAGAACGGCCCTCAGAGCTCAAGGCGGTCAGTCTGGTGGATGCGGGAGTGTGGTTCACCCCTTGATAAGCCTGGTGCGCAACCAGGCGAAACGCGTCGGGGAATGTGCGCGTTCGTGAGCTTGACTGTCCATGTAGGTTTCTGACATATCTGTAAGCATGGACGAGTGGTGATTGGCCTCGCCATTTCTGTTTCGTTCGTTTCGTTCTTCTTCTTCTGTTTCTCCTCCTCCTCCTCCTTCTTCTTCTTCCTCTTCTTTGGTTTGTGATGGTTCAGAAAGAGCGGTTCAAGCTTGGGATGCTAGTATAGCACAAGAGAATATGGAAGATCCGAGAAGAGATTAGCTTTGCACCCTCATAACTTGAATGACTGTATGGAACTGGAGAGATATCTCATATACATTCATGATCAGGGTGAGTTGCCTTTAGCAAATAGGTAATGGGTGTAACCGTTTATAGCCCACCAGCTTCAGACATTAATTTTCAAATCAGGGTGGTAGGGCCTCCACATGTCAACTGCTGGTAGGGCCTACTATGAGCACTCTACCCCATCAACAGTCCAGGGCTGAATAAGGTGCCGCAGGGCTTTGGTACCCTTGGAACTTGAAGTTGGTCCCAAAGAATTGGCTGGGTAAGTATGAGTGAGGAAAGCACCCCCACCTTATCCAGTCTTGGGCCTTTCAGCAAGTAGCAAAACGAAAGATCTCTGTACCTCAAAAAAAAAAAAAAAAAAAAAAAAAAAAAAAAAACTCCATACCTCTAACGCTTGCAAAGGGCCCAGCGTGGGGCTCTATTTCTTTTTTTACCTCTAAGGCTTGCAAAGGGCCCAGCATTGGGCCCAGCAGAAACCGGGCCGGCACCGCGCGGGCCGAGCGGGACACTCGAGGGCCGAGGGAGGGTCCGGCCCGGCACTGGGAAGCGAATCGCGCCGGGTGCCGGCGGCCGAGGAAGCACAGAGTCGCGGGAACGCTGTTGGACGTGGTCCGTGGGGAAAGGAAGGCCGGAGCGGGGGCGAGGTCCCCCTGGCAAAGAGGATTGGATTCATCTCCTCAATCTGGACATGTGGTCTGCGTAGATGCAGAAAAGCAGTTCAATCGAGATTTCCTGCACTTCGCCACGAATACGTCCACATGCTCAGCCTTGAAATCCAGTCCTCTTGGCTAGTCGGACCGGGGCACGGGTGGCAGGGGACGGGGGCGGTCGAAGTGTGGCGGGGGCTTGCAGGCGAGGGGCCGAAGCGACATGCGCTGGGCGCGGAGACACAGAGAGAGACGAGAGAAGTGGCGGGAGGACTGCTCGCTCGAGCGTCGGGCGAAGCGACACCCGGGAGGGAGAGAGAGAGAGAGAGAGAGAGAGAGAGTTCTCCATCGATAGGATGAGCAACGCACCGGCCAACAGGTAAGTCTCCAACCCTGCGACTGGCCTCACGCTACTTCCATCCATAGGATGAGCAAAATCGAATGAATACACTACTGCATGCGCGCGCGCGCGCGCGCGCGCGCGTGTGTGTGTGTGTGTGTGCGTTTCGCCGGTCCACTTGTATAAATAAAGGAAGTAGAAATTGAGCCTGGGGTCCCGACAGTCTACCCGGGATAAACAATCAGGAAATGAACACCAGGAAGAACCCCTGAAGTAGCACATGCCTAGAAGCACCGAGGTAAAAAGAAACAGCAAGGCAAAGAACCAAATGCAATTGCTAAAGACTTGTACCCTCAAGCCCTCTCAGTCACAATGGCTGTCAAAACTGAACTTTGATTATCTGGGCCTAGTAGACGAGTGATCCCACAACAGATCTGAATGAATAAAACAGCTTGTCATCATCATCCGTGAAAGTCTGCCCATTTGAAGGGACGGGCGAACCTTTCCACCCAAGACTGGATACCCTTTCCACCCAAGAAAGGAGGACCTTTCCACCCAAGACGGGAGAACCTTTTTTTTTTTTTTTTTGCACACAACTTATCCTTGTTTTCGCGACCCCATTCTCAGGGCCAATTACAATCAAATCATTACAACTCAGCCCTTCGTCTTGGAGGGCAAGGCAGTCGCCAGGTGGCAGTCCCACACCCGAATGCACGACGATCTGCATCCCGTAAAACTACGCATCACAACCAGTACAAGATTGCTATCCCGACGGAGGGATCATCCATACCAAAGATCAAATTGATCCAATCATTGCCAATATATATTTGTCACACCGGAAATCAGAGCGCAAAGGCGGAAAAAGACAGAACAAGAAAAAGAAAAAGAAGTAAGGAAGGAAAGCCCCACCTGTTCGTCACCTTTTACGTACAAGGCCAGCCACGTGGATGACAGGTTTATATATATATCGTCACAAACAGATACGATATATGTATATATATATACAGTTCTGTTTGTGACGATATATATATATCGTCACAAATAGAACTGCCCGGTAAACCGTAGGCAGAGAGAGAGAAGAGGACAACAAACGAGGGGCNAACTGCCCGGTAAACCGTAGGCAGAGAGAGAGAAGAGGACAACAAACGAGGGGCTGTGACAAACTGTTTCGTCGGAGTTTCACCTACCTACTCATCAGGACGCTGAACCCTCAACAGTCTGCAGAATCCCCTCACTGATTACACTGTAAATGATAATCTACCTTAACCAAAATCAAAGTAGACTATCACTCACCCACACCAGATGGAAAACTCTACATATGTATATATATAGTGATTGCCACCCAAGAAGGGAGAACCTTTCCACCTATTGTCCAGTTACAGGGCGCTACGCCCTGGCATGAGCAATTTCTTGCGGAAAAAGGTCTACCGTGCAGGCGAAGCTATGGCTCGCGTTTGTGTGTGCGTGACGGTCTCGTTCTCTCGTTTCAACTGCTTACCTGCTTTGCACACACTCTCTCCCTACCATACCTCCCCCTCCTCTCTCTCCTCTCGCTCCTCTCGCTCCTCTCGCTCCTCTCCCTCCCTCCCCCGCATGTAATGACTCTTGTGAATCCGTCTGTGGTTGGGAAGGTGTTTCTGAATACATGTGGTGGTGATCTCAGCGCAGGGGAGCGAGGGAGGGAGGAGGGATCAAGAAGAAGGACAGCGATGGAGGGGCCGACGACAAGAAAGTGTTCGGCGAGGCGCACTACAAGGACATGGGGCGTTTGCTACTTGATGGTGGTTATGGCCATAGCCATGTTCGTGGCTGCAGATGTCGGGCTTTTCCCTAGCAGCGGCGCTACGGCCGCTGAAGCTGATGACGTTAGTGTGTCTGCTATCGGTAGTGCTGGTGAAGGCGGTGAAGAGGGGGCAACAGAGGGAGGCGGAGGCGCAGCCACGTGGACGAAAGGCGAGGCCGCAGCCACGTGGACGAAAGGCGAGGCCGTAGCCACGTGGACGAAAGGCGAGGCCGTAGCCACGTGGACGAAAGACGACGCTCGCAACGCTTTGACAGCTAGAAGAGAGAAATGCGTGCAGGATGTGGCTTTGGACTCGACGGGGACCTGCACCGGGTCACTTGTTGACATGGAGAACTGCGTTCTGAAGTGCATGGCTCCTACGTGCTACGGGGAGATCTATGGTCGGGATCCCTTGGAAGAAGGAGAGATAGACGTCCGGGGCAGGAGGTTTAGGAGGTGCGCTCGAGGGTATATCAGGCAGCTTCGGGCTCAGGACCTTGCGTCTGCGAAGGCGCAGCAGCAGCAGCAGCAGCAGCAAAGGAAACCGTCTTCAGAGCGCGAGGAGGAGGGGGAGGAGGAAGACGAAGTGGAAGAGGAGGGGGAAGTGGAGGGGGAAGTGGAGGTCATTGGGGTCTGATTCCCCTCATCTGGTTGTTAATCTTAACTATAGTGGTGTACATATATTCGCTCTAAGGGTTAGGGTTGCAGCCAGTCGTAACCTGATGATGTTCGTCAAGGGATTCATCCATTCGTTTGTCCATTCGTTTGTCCATTCGTTTGTCCATTCGTTTGTCCGTACGACCGTACGGCAATTCTTTTTTTTCTTCTTTTTTTAATTTCATTTTTTTTTTTTTGTTGACTTCAATTCTTTTTCCGACTGTAGTAGTAGTAGTAGTAGTAAATTTTCGTCGCTTTTTTTTTTTTTCTTTTTTTTTCTTTTTTCCTGAAGAGTTTCGAGGAGCGAGCGATAGCGCCTATTTGGTGGAGGTGGAATTGGAATCTCCTCGACTCAGATGAACTTTCGTGGTAAACTCCCCGAGAGTGACGAGGGGAAGAGGGCGGGGGAGGGGGGGGG